AACCTAACCCTTACCTTAAGTTGAATTGGCTTGCTTTCAAAGCACTATTTAAAGCGCCCTTCTTTCTCTCTGTTGTCGCCCTGTTGATGACATCAGCGACGCGGTTTAATCGGGTGTGGCTTAGTCGAGCGCGGTTTTGATGGGTCACGGGAGAGAAGTATGCACTGGGGTACCACAAGGTTCTGTCTTGGGCCAATACTTTTCAATATCTTCATAAATGACTTAGATAAGGAATGGAAGGGGAATTCATCAAATGTGCAGATGACACCAAGCTGGCAGGAATAGCCAAAAGACAAGCTCAGGATCCAAAAAAAATCTTGACAGACTTGAACAATGGGCCCTATCCAACAACATGAAATTTAATGTAGAAAAAAAGCAAGGTTTTACACCTAAGCAGGAAAAACCAAAGGCACAAGAACAAATTAGGCAAAACCTGTCTCAAAAACTGTAACTGTGAGTGGGATAGTGGAGTCTACTGGATGATCACTTAAACATGAGCCAGCACTATGTGGCAGCAGCCAAAAAAGCTAATATAATCATTGGTTGTATAAACAGAGACGTAGAATCCAAATCACATGAACTGTTAGTACCACTTTATAAAGCTTTAGTAAGGCCACACTGGAATACTGCATTAGGTTTTGGTCACCACATCACAGAAAAGATGTTGAGACTTTGGTAAAAGTGTAAAAAAAAAGAGCAACTAGGATGATTAAAGGCCTGGAGACAAAAACATATGATTAACGGTTGCAGGAAATGGGTATGACCAATCTAGAGAAAAGAAGGAATAGCTGGGACATGATAGCAGTATTCCAGTATTTGAGGAAGAGGTGAGTTGCTCCTGGTTCCGCCTAGTTCGACCAAACCAGTAGTGGTGATTTGGCTTGGGTTTCATTTCATTTATTTCATTTATTAAATTTATAGGCCGCCTAATCCTGGAGGACTCCAGGCGGTTTACAACAAAAGAAGAAAAAAGAAAAGCAAAATAAGTAAAAAATAGTTTAAAATTCCCAACACGCATACGTTCTAATCGGGGCTGGACCTCAACAATGAGGTCAACAGCCCCAGGCCTGCCGGAACAGCCAGGTTTTAACGGCTTTCCTGAAGGCCATGAGAGTGGGTAAGGTCCGGACCTCTGGGGGTAGCTGATTTCAAAGGGTCGGAGCAGCCACAAAAAAGGCTCTCCTCCGGGGGGCC